ACTGACGGTCTTTCTGTCAATTCTTATCAGACAAGAATGCTTAAAATAGTGTGTATGGACGGTCTGACTGTGTACTCTGTGCTGACCATAGAGGTTTACTTTCAATTCCGGCCCCTAAAATAGGCCCAGTCAGCCCCTATTCTCCTTACACGTTCTCACGTACCTTGTGTGCACTATGAGTTTAGCAGTAATCAGTGAAGTTCACTTTACTGTATTACATCTTATACTGATGATAATGATTTCCGGTCTGCAGTTCATACGATCATACGCCCGTGGGACTTTTTCGAATCGGAAGTGCGAAGTTGCATTCGATCAATGAAGAAAGGGTAGGCTGCAGAACCTGATAGGCATCTCTCTATCCCTTTCAAGGTGGGCGATGATTCTTAGTTTACTTCGCAGTATTTAGTCGGAGGAGCGTATCCCTTAATTTTGCGGTGAATCTTTGATCGTCCCGATCTTCAAGAAGGGATCACGCAACGACTGCGCAAACAACCGCGGGATTAGTTTTGTGCCGATAATCACAGCAGTGTGATACTTTGCCGCTCGATACCCTTAAGGGAGATGAATATCCGCGAATAACAAGGAGGATTCCGACCCGGTCGCGGTTGCATCGACCAAATCTTCACCCTGCGTCAGGTCCTCGAATTGTCACATCGTCGATCAACAATCGCAGTGTTCCTTGATCTAAAAGTAGCCTTCGATTCAGTTGACCGTAAAGCTTTTATGGGGTCGCTGCTCCGCGAAGGAATGCCGCGGAAGTGTGTGAACCTAGTGCCGTCGCTGTACCCGCATACTTCTGATAAGGTTCTTGTCATTTCTTATCAGGTCAGAATGTTTGAAACGTTATGTATGCACTACTGGATTGTGTACTCTATGTTGACCGCAGAAGGTTACTTTCATTGCCACCCTCCAATTAGGCCCAATCCCTCTCCATCTTGTGCTTCATCACTTGATTTTTATACATTGCGAACCTACCAGCGACCAATGAAGTTCGCTTCACTGTATCTCGTTGTACAATGTTGATGTTTCGAACGTCCAGGATGCCCAGTACCTTTCTATGCCTACGGAACCCTGTGATTATTGTCACAATCGCGAGGGTGTGGCTCATGCACCTCTTAGCTGGTTTGGAATCGGGTTTTTAGCCAACCCAATAAAATGTGACTCTAAAAAACACCAACTTTATCAATATTTCCACACGAAGTAATTTTATTTTGTTGCTGTCATCAGAATATGTAGTTTATCGACAATAAAGCTTCTGACATTGTTTAGTAGAGGGCCTAACAGTGTCTTTAAAATCAGAGTTGTGTGGATTATCTATTTCTTTTCTGTGTTCTGCATGGCTTGCTAATCTGTTTTCACTTCATTTATCACGCTGAGTTTACTGTTGCATGCCCAATCACTTTTTTCTTTATAACTGACCACTTCACTGAAGATGTGGATTGGTTTTATTGTGTCGTTTCACTCGCTGTGTAGTCGATGTTACTTGGCGTTCAGAGTGCTTTAGAAAATGTGCTCGCACATACTATTATCTAGTGCTTAGTCATATGACGGCCAGTTTGGAAATGCGCTGTGTAGGCATGATAGATTTGTCTGCATCGTTGTTCATCCCAAGCGATCTATGAATGTCAATAGCATGACTGGTGTATTGCATGTAGCAATCCTAGCTACTGTCATCTTTATTTGCTAATGTTACGTGGTCAATCATCTGTCGAGGTCTGTACGATTTACTCCAAAGAAAGTATGCTATATATATATATATATATACATAGTTTCAGTCAGCTCAAGCAGCTTACGCAGGATTGCACCTTCAAAGTGCCAAGTGCTGCTACAGAACTGAGTTTCGTCTACTCCCACTCTGACACTAAATGACCAGGATTTAGTTGTGGTGGATTACTTTTCCTACCGAAGTAGTTGCGTGACCAATGACGGTAGTGCAGCAATATATATTTATATATTTCACACTTGTCTGATACCAGACTGTGTGCCAAACAAATCATGGTACAATAATCTTTATAAA